TCAGGAAATACAGTCAGTACTGCCTTCCATTGCTGCAGGGAAACTGAGGAAGGTGAGGTGTGTATTACTGCCCCCTCCTACCGACTCCCCGCCCCCATCTCTCCTGTCATGGCGTCCTACTGTAGCTAACTGGGGGCCTTCCCCTGCTCGCACCCCCACCATGGGATTTCTCAAGCCCTCATGTCATCACTGACATTTCTTCAGGCTGAATTCCTGAGCTATGGGTCATGCAGGGAACACTTGTCCTGAAACAGAACCAGCTGAGGAGCTGACTTCCCGGTGCCTTACTCCCCCCCCCTTTCTCTGCCACCTAAGCACCTCCCTCATCCCACCCACTTCTGTCAGGCGTGCAATGAGCGGAGCCGGTTCCCCGCTCCTCCTCACTTCCCCCCCCCCCCGCTGCAGCGGAAGAAATGGTACAGCCCGCTGGTACAGCTCTTGGAGTGGTGTCATTGATTCCGTTGTAGCAGAGCAGTCGGCTTTCGGAGGCTGTTGTGGTGAGAACAGAGAGAGAGAGAGAGAGAGAGAGAGCGAGAGAAGGACTCCAGACTCCTGTTAGCTCCTGTTCCTGGCTCTGCTATCGTCTGGCTCTGCTATGACCCTGTTTAAAAGTGAGCACCGCAGCCCCCGACGTAAGTATGCCAGAGAATCTCCTCTGTTCCACCCCCCACCCCCCCTGCACTGTCTTTGTCTTTGTGGTTCTGAATGTTGTGGCAGCACAAGGTGTCCCCAGAACTGCGCTGCTGCCAGGCCAGCTGGTGCCGGAGCCAGAGGAGGCCGGTGTGGGTAGATGGCCACGGGAAAGTCTGCGGGTCTCTTTCAGCTAGCAGCTACCCGCTACCCGCTAGAGAAGGAAAGGGAGCAGAGACGTTTGTTTTGGTTTGGCTGTGTCTGCATGTATGTGTGTCTGTGTGAGTATGTGTGCGTATGTGCGGTGGTAGTCGGCAGCTGGGAGGGGGTTGTAAAGAGTCTGTCAGCTTTTATATGAGCAGAAATCACCCTGACCGTGGTGCCTGGGGCTAAGCAGGTCCACAGCTGCTAATCAGGCAGAGAGAGAACTCAGGGTGAGGAGGTGCCCCCCACTGGCAGAGTGGGAATGAGGAGGTGGGAGTGAGCCTGCCTGTCAGGTAGCGGGGGGTGTTACCCTGGACCGGTCGGACGCCTAGCGGGGAGGCAGGGGGGGGATCGCATCACTGGATAACAAGCACCAATCGAACGCTGCAGTGGCGCATCTTTTGTCTGCTCGCCCGCTGGTCCCGTCACCCATAAGGTCACTTCCCACCGTAGCCCAGGAGTCCAGAAGCCCCCAGACCCCCTTTAGCACCAGAACTACTGCAGACAAAGGGAGTCCATTACCTTCTGTCGGGAGAGAGAGCGGCGCCGTGAGAGCCGAGGTCAGCAGCAACGCCTGTCCGCCGGGGGAATCCGTCCTCCAGGGCGCTCTCCTCACAGAAGGGCATGTTCCAGGAATGCTGGATAAGTTAGGGCCGGCTTGTACTTCTCAGAAGTCAGCGTGTGTCCACGTGAGCAGGGCGGCAGGGAGCTGTCATTCCATCAATGCCATCAGAAGGCTGCTTACCGTGTAAATAGTCACCCCACACTATGGCTTCACATTCACTCTTAGGGTCCGGAGTTTTCTTTCAGACTGGGATCCTGAAGAACAGCCTTTTTCTGCTTGAGTGGACGTTTGATGTCTGGCTGCCTGGGTTTATTTCAGATTCAATTTTATAAACACTGAAGTCGATACATAGACCTTTAAATACCTGCATTGTGATATACAATTTCAAATGCATGCATGTGTCCTTTGACATCATTTCCATAGAGAATATGGCTGTATTTCTATGTCCATGAGATAAATATCAGCCTTTCTGGATGTGTTCCTGTCTTATATAAACGGCCGCTATGCTCTGATCTTTCTGCAGAGAGGGAACAACGTGTGGGAAACAGACGATGCCGGTTATCTGGCAGTTTTAGTTCCATATCATAGAGGCTTCAGAGTTTGGTGGGTCGTCGGTGGATGTTCAGGTTCTGTTGAGGTTGGGGGGATAATTATCAGTAAGGAGGCGGGGCTGGTTACCCAGTATGGGCAGGATGTCCTCCCCACAGCAGGAGTGGCGAGAACGATCCCACACAGGACGTTCCCAAAGGAAGCCTGCCCCCCCGCCGGGTGCCCCTCCCATGGTGTCCCCGCTGGTGCACCGGCCGACGCGGGCATCTGTAGCGACGGGCTTCGCGGGAGACCGTGGCAGATGGCCGCCGGCTCGTCTTCGGGATGGGGATGCGGGGAGCGTGTGACGCGTTTCAGCGGGAGATAAGAGGAGCAGCCAGGGACATGGCAGGAAGGACATAAATCTAGCAAATTAAATTGGAAATCTTGAGGACATGGGCTTCCTCAGTAGAGGGAAAGTCCAACGCTACTGGCAGGTCTGGCTAGGGGAATGACCAAAAGGTCATGTTTTCTCCCCATCATGTTGAGGGGAAATTATGCAGGTTTGCCTCTCGTTACCTCTGTCTCCCTTACATTTTTTTACCATTCAGCTGGACTACACTTGGGCTTTGGGACAAATGGACAACATTACCCAGAATGCATAGCCATTTTATAATCCTGCTCTGAGCAAAGAGCATGCCAAAAACAAGCGGGTGGTGGGTACCTATAAAAGTGACAAAGTGATGCATATTACAGCATGGTGTTTGGTTATCATCATGAAGAGATGAAGAGCCCCCCCCCCCCATTCCTGCCGACAACATCAGAGGGGGCAGGGCAGCAGCTTTTGTGATGCATATCAGCAGACTGTCGTAAGCAGTTCAGATCCTGATCAGCACTGAGCACAGTCCCTGATCCACTGAACACCTTGACTGGCGTTCAGTATGATCTTCAGTCAGCGTTCAGGGCAGCTACAGCCCTGCTTCCTGACCAGGAGAGTAATAATTTTCTAAAACAAAAAAAAATGAAGGGCTCCTGTCACATGCGTGTGGCAGATTAACCGTAAAGGTCTGTTAGGGATGAGGCACCAGGACGGGTCTTCCACTGATAGTAGGGACATTTTGGTTTTAATACTCTCATTATTTCTGGGTACAGGTGTCACTGTGGGCCCCCCTCAGGAAATTAGAGATCGCATGTCATGCATTTTGGTAAGACTGCAGCTCCAGGTGGTTCGACGTGCTTCTCCTTGGGCTGCCTCCTGTGAATCCCCGAGGGGGACAGTTCAGATGACCTGTAAGAGAAGAAATAGCACCAGGTCACTGGACCCAAGGTCCCCTAGGCTTCTTGTGACTGAAGCCTCCTCCAAGCAGGAGCTGCCCACCGTGAATTGTCTTGCTAGCGACGTGACGGGATTTCCGGCTCTCTGGGGCATACAACCCTGTGCTGGAAAATTCTAGCAAATTTGTGGGGAAAGTGGGGTCCCCTATTCATATCAGTCCCGAGCTAACAACAGCCTGGATGACTTTTCCGGGAGATTCGGCTCAGCTAAGCCCTTAAAGCACCAGAGAGCAGACACTGCAGGAAGGGGGGGGGGGGCGTGCAAGGCAAGAGAGTGCCTGTGAGGTTTGGCTGAGGTGGCATCTGCGTAATTCTGAGTTTTACCAACACATTAAAGGCTGGGAGCAGACTGGGCAGGGTAACAACGAGCCTTGCGTGTGTAACGGGGCACACACAACCCTGTTACACGTGGAGCACTGGGATCCATGAGCCGGTCGCTTGTCCGTATCCGTGACCCAGCCGATCTCGGATCACCCTGACTGAGCCACAGCCTCCCATCTGTTCAGCTTGAGAGGGTTGCTTTTTCAAGTGTGGGAGTACTTTGGGGAGAATAAGGACTTTATTTTCAGGATTTTTACGAGACCAAGCGAAGGGGGCATTTCTCAACACTCCCCCCGCTTGAAGTGCTAATGAGCTGCTGATTAACCTTAATAGCCTGAGTGACACTGAACACGGATTCATTGAAAATGGCAAAATTGCAAACAAAGCATAATTGTAAAACATATCACTCATGTTGTTCCACCCTGAACGCACATTCAAAGACGAGCAGTTTCTTTGTCACTGGAGTTCTTTATCTGGGCACAGCAGCCTGGAATGTTATGCTTACGGATTATTCCGGAAATGTTAATTGTATTGCATGGCGTCCCTGTTTACCGAATGTAAGGAACTGCCCCCACCCCCCAGATGATGTGGGGTCGATCCGTCCTGCTGCGGCGTTCCTGATCAGCCCAACACGTTCCCGTGTATCCTGGCCACCTCACGGCCATGCTGCTCATCCCAGACGGCATGCCAGTGTGAAGGAACTGTGCATGCCGGTGTGAAGGAGCTGTGCATGCCGGTGTGGAGGAGCTGTGCATGCCGGTGTGAAGGAACTGTGCATGCTGGGGTGGAGGAGCTGTGCATGCCGGTGTGAAGGAGCTGTGCATGCCGGTGTGGAGGAGCTGTGCATGCCGGTGTGAAGGAACTGTGCATGCCGGTGTGGAGGAACTGTGCATGCCGGTGTGGAGGAGCTGTGCATGCCGGGGTGGAGGAGCTGTGCATGCCGGTGTGGAGGAGTTGTGAATGCCGGTGTGAAGGAACTGTGCATGCCGGTGTGGAGGAACTGTGCATGCCGGTGTGGAGGAGCTGTGCATGCCGGTGTGAAGGAGCTGTGCATGCCGGTGTGAAGGAGCTGTGCATGCCTCTGCCTCTGTAGGAGGGAAATGCTCAGACCCTTCATTTCCCTCATAATACAGCAGATTTGTTCTTTCCCAACAATGCGGCTTATCTGTGAAGCGATAGGGAGCTGGCAGTGTGGGTCTCTGTGTTTGTAAGTTTGAGTGTGTGTGTGTCTGTGGGTCATGTATATATTACATTGTGGGGACCAAATGGCCCCACACAGTGCCCAAATAACAGGTTTTTATCATGTTGTGGGGGCCATTTCATTAGAGGTTTCCCCATAGAAATTAATGGAGAGTCCCAACAAATATGTAATTACAAATATGTGTGTGTGTGTGTGTGTGGATTAGGTTTATATTGCATTGTGGAGACCAAATGTCCCCTACACTGTAATAAAAAACCTGATGTTTTGACATTGTGGGGACCATGTTTGTTTGGTTTCTTATGGTTATGGTTAGGGCTGGGTGGGGGTTAAGGTCATCAAGTTGGGATTAGAATTTTCCACATAGAAATGAATATATAATTACAAACCTGTGTGTGTGTGTGTGCGCGCATGGGTACATGCGTGTGTTTGTGTATGTGTGGGTGTGTCCATGTGTGTGTGTGTGTGTGTTTGTGTATGTGTGGGTGCCCATGACGGGTGTCAGGAGTACTTAACGTAAGACGGGCCCTGCTGTTAATTGTCCATTCCATTAGGCCAGGCCCATTGGCAGCCTGGGGGCCCCTCTCCTGTAAACGTGGGGCCCCTGTGACCAGCCATGAAGGATGCTGTTATACCTTGATGTCTCTCAGTCACCAGGGGCCACAGGGGTAGCCTTTGTGTGACGTCTCCTTGTCGAATGCTCACCGACCACCCTGTGAAAAAGCTGTGATCCTGTAGACTAAAAAAGCTGTGCAGGATGGGGGGGGGGCTATTCCCACTCTTTTTTCTCTGATCTCTCCTCCTCACACAGAAGACCCGTAACTGATAGACTTATCATCTCTGTGACAGTGGGCTTTCGGTGCATCAATCTTCCCTCCTCCGCCCCTGCCTGGAAATCGATGGCACAATCATGCCCCCCCTCGGCATGTAGCTGTATGATCCCATGCCCACCCCCCCACCCTGAGGTGATACCATGTAGACTGGTTGCCAGGCGTTGCAACTATGTCCTGTTCAGCCCCCCTCCCCCCAAAAGGAACACCAGAGGAAGGAGGTGCAGAGAAAATGCATCTTTTAGCAACCAAGGAAATGGAAACTTTTGACACAGCTGTCTGGGGTTTGCTGTCTTTTGAGGCTAAAGCGACCCCATCCTGGCCCAGCCTGGGCTCTAATGCAAAAACAGAGGGCTAATCAATGCGGAGAGCAGAGCCAGGCTCTCACTCTACGCAGCAGGCGAAGCTGGGAGGCGGAGCTCCGGCGTGGACGGCCGGGGGCACAGCTGTGCGCAGAGCCGCCTTGTGTATGCATGTTTATTCAGAGAAAGGTACAGGTGGGGTCAGCTGACAGGGAAGAGGGCGGGGCCTGCCTGACACACACTGTCCATTTGAAGTCCTGCAGCAAATCAAATATGGGACAGAGAAGCAATTAATTTCACAGTGGCAGATGGAGGGCAATTAGCGTCCAGAGAGTTTCATTTACCTGGCCCTGCTGTCGCCGTGGGACTTTGGAGCAGTCGGGAGGGTGAGACTCCACGCTCCATAAGGCCTGTGCATGTCCTCCGGTCAGCTTGGGGTCTGGGACAGTGACTGTCTGAGCAGGGAGGTGGATAGGAGCTGTCTGGGCTCTGTGTTGGCGGTAGGTTGCATCATCAGTTAGTGATCGGCATGTGTATGTGTGAGAGTGAGTGTGTGTGTGTTTATATGTGTGAGAGTGAGTGTGTGTGTGTTTGTATGTGTGTATGTGTGAGTGAGTGTGTGTGTTTGTATGTGTGAGAGTGAGTGAGTGTGTGTGTGTTTGTATGTGTGAGAGTGAGTGTGTGTGTTTGTATGTGTGAGAGTGAGTGAGTGTGTGTGTGTTTATTTGTGTGAGTGTGTGTGTGTTTGTATGTGTGAGAGTGAGTGTGTGTGTTTGTATGTGTGAGAGTGAGTGAGTGTGTGTGTGTTTATATGTGTGAGTGAGTGTGTGTTTATATGTGTGAGAGTGAGTGTGTGTGTTTATATGTGTGAGAGTGAGTGTGTGTGTGTTTGTATGTGAGTGTGTGTATGTGACAGTGAGTGAGTGTGTGTGTGTATGTGAGAGAATGAGTGGGTGTGTTTATATGTGTGTATGTGTGAGAATGTGTGTGTTTGTATGTGTGAGAGTGTGTGTGTGTGTGTGTGTTTGTATATGTGTATGTGTGGTTTATGTAAATATTGATATGATATATGATTTATATGATAAAAGCCTGTTATTTTGACATTGTTGGGACCATTATTCAGTCCCCCCTAGGGACTAAAAAATGTGAGAAGTCTTGTATTTTGCTTGGTTACTTATGGTTAAGTTTAGGTCTTGGTTGGGGTTAAGGTTTTCATTGTTGGGGTTATAGTTATGCCCATAGAAATGAATGGACAGTCCCTGTAGGTGTAATGGCCAGGTGTCCTGATACTTGTGTCCATATAGTTTATGTGCGTATGTATGTGTGTGTGTGTGTGTGTCTGTGTCTGTGTGTGCATGTGTGTGTGTCTGTGTGTGTGTGCGTGTGTGTGTGTCTGTGTGTGTGTGTGTGTGTGTGCGTGTGTCTGTGTGTGTNTGTCTGTGTGTGCATGTGTGTGTGTCTGTGTGTGTGTGCGTGTGTGTGTGTCTGTGTGTGTGTGTGTGTGTGTGCGTGTGTCTGTGTGTGTGTGTGCGCGAGTGTGTTTGTGTGACCATGCAGTTACCCATTACAGTCACTGTTCTGCACTGACTGTGACACATCTGCCATTTTTCCATGTCACTAACTTCTGTCAGAAGAACATGGAGATGTGTCCCTCTCAAGGCCCGTATCCTTTGTTATGGCTGATTGAAAGTGGAACATGAAATGCTGAGCGTGAGTGACATCACCCACACTGGTTCATCTTTGAAGCAAGGAAGTCGTGTTATTATTTTTAAGTGATTCTGCACGTGCCCCTACATCATTCTGCTGGGACCTTCTGCTGTGTGACCTGAGCCAAAAGCAGGTGCCTTCAGCAACAGGAAGTGCCTTTAAGTCACTGTTCCTTTACTATTTTACAAATTCTGGGCTTGTTTTACAGCAGTGTATCTCACCTCGGGCCTTGGGGATCCCAGACAGCCCACATTTTTGCTTCCTCCCAGTCCCATATGTCGACTGTCTAGCAGGAAGCTGGGAGGGAGCAAAAACGTGGACGGTCTGGGGTCCCCAAGGACTGGGTTGAGAAACACTGTTTTAGAGATCATAAGATCCCTCCTTGGCCAGTAGTAGGCACTGAAACAAAGAACCTTAATCAATCTGGAAGTATCATCAACATGGTATTTTGCCACACAGCACTGCTGACTGTTTTCTCGTTCCTCGCACTATTCTGTGTATTCTGTCACTCTAGACACCGTACTATGTCATGTCCCAGGAAGGTGGCAGCTTCTGAGGTTCTGGAGCACCGGTGTCTGGCTTAGATAATGCCATAAAGTACCTGAACCTCTTGACCCTGATCACGTGCTGTATGTACAATATGATGTTTGGAGGAGCATGCTGTCTGCCGTGTCTCTTCTCAGCATTGTGTGCTCTTTTGCAGACATAAGTATGACTGGAGAGCTCCATTCGGGTCGCCCCAAGGCAGGACCCAAGAGGCCCAGCAGCATGGTACACGGGTAAGTATCTCCTCCAAGAGCCTGGGTCAGAGAACCTCCCCACCAAACCCAACTCGCAGTATCCTATGGGTGTTCGTATCGCCCATCGCTATGGCAACACCACCTCCATTCCTGTGGCCAGTGATCTTTGGACTTGGAAAGTGGCTGCCTTGGTCACCATCTCCATTGAGGGAGGATGTTTAAGATCTTTAAGACTATGGCTGAAACTAAGCAGTTGTTGATGTAGTACAATGTAAAAGCACCTTATCAGATTCCTTAGAGTATTATATGTCTAACATAAGTGTTTCTGTTTGGTTTGGCCCTCGTGAGGAGCAAAGGGATGAATTAGTTGACTTCATGAAATTTGGGGATTGAGGTTCATGCAGGTTGTGATTTAGGGTTTATGGGCAATCAATAGGGAACTATAGGAAATTAGTGTCATTGGGTACATTAGGAGTTGTTCCTTTATCAAAGATCAAGCAGGTACTTCGACAGAGGCAGGTAGCCTGTGGCGAATGTCAGAAATCATCAGAAATCACCATGATAAGCACTCAATGTCGGCCTCCAGGCTGAGCCCTCATGTGGCGGCTGGTTCATGACGCATCATTCTCAACATCTTCCCTTTCTTTTGGACGCCTGTTGTCTTCATTTCTTGGTGTTAACCTTACCCAAAAACAACCTCACCCAGTCCCAACCTACTCCTTTGTTGGATGTTGTGTTTGTTAACCTGTTAGGAGTATGCTGTCACTTCCATTCAGTGGGTGTGAGCAAAACCGTCATTAATAATGCATGTGGAGACAACTTCTACATTTTCACTGGTGCGAAGGAAGCTCAGCCTGCCAGATGACCCATTCGGTCTCCTTCCTTCATCTCTCATCTCTCCTTCCTTCTTTTCTGTTCTTCTGCATCCTGCCCATCGCTGCGCTCTAGCCGTGGTCCAGCCATCCAGACCTTCAGATCCAAGTATGAAGGCAGACATCTACTATACTGTGACAATAATCGTTTAATCGTCTAATTTTCAGGCTACTAGGATGTGTGTCACCTAAACCTGTGTCTTATGTGGTCCTCAAAGCCAATAGGAAAGGGTTACTGTCAGCCAATGGAAACAGGTTCCACAGGTGACAGCATCTTGTGACGAATAGGAGCTGGTCACATGACAGGCCTCGGGGGGGGGGTTGGGAGACAAGTCATGCGTATGGACCAGATGCCACCGCTTAACGTACGGTCCAGCGCTCTGTTATTAAAGCGCATAGATGAATCGTAGCCGCAGGTGCATCTGCCTGTTGGCCCATAGGGTGATGGTCTCCTGGAATATTACTGGCGCTCGAAGGTCAGCAAATGTAGCAGAAAAACATGGAGCTGGAGACATAATATCAGATTAATGGAAAAGAAAGGCCTCAGTGTAAAGGTAGTGATGTCATAGTCATCTATTATACTAATATTGTAATTTTGAAAAAAAAAATAATAATGATATACTTTCATTTGCTGCTTTTCTCCCTAGTTATCACACTAGAATATTTTACTAAAGCAGTTTAGGTATTTTATGGGATTACTACAATGGGACTCTCCCAAGCCTTGACCCAACACCCTTCTGTTTAAGGTCTACAACCTTAACCACTCTGCTACCAACAACGTGAAAACAAAAAAGGCGCCCAAAAATGGAAGCTATTCCTCAGGCATGGACAGCTAGCCTAAAAGCCCTGAAGCAGTAATATCCAAATACATGATTCACTCTCAGCTGAGACACATTAAACTCATTAGCATGAAATAAATAATTAAACACACAAAAGATGATTACAATGCAACATGCAATCAGTTTAAAGTAAATAAGGTATACTGTATTATTTCAGGAAGTAATTAGTCGGAATTACCCAGCAGGTTGGCAGAGGAAATGTGATTTTGTAGTGTGTGGTGCTTTTGTGGGAACTGCTGCACCTCCGCAACCTGGGAACGTTGAGGTGCTTCCTGGGAAATGAGGTGTCTGGCGGCAGCAGGGTAATGACCCTCTCTGCCGCATGTGTTAGTCGCGATGCAAATGCAGCAACGGCTGCCCAGGTCACATCAGCTTTCTGGAGGGGCAGGGAATAGGCGACCCATCAAAAGGTGTGAGTACAGAGCAGATGGCCCCGGTGCCCTTTTGGCCAGAAAGGTGATCCTGCACGCCTACTCACCAGAGAACCTCTCCAGACCTTGACCTCAGTTATATTGGTACTGGCCCGTGAAAAAAATCTTAAGTGAACTTCCCAAGTTTGTGTTTCCATGATGGTGGGAACTAGCAACATTGCAAGGGAGAAGCCCAATAACAAAGCAGCCCTTCTCTTTCCTGTCCTCTTGTGTGTCACACGGCAGTGACTCCTAACCCAGTCCACGGGGACCCACAGACGGGCCACATTTTTGCTCACTCCCAGCTACCAAACAACCAAGCGATGGAGAACCCTGAATACCTGGGTGGAAATAAAAACGTGAACTGTCTGGGTGATCCCTAAGGACTGGGCTGAGAATCACAGTCGCACGGTCACATGACTGGCCTCGTCAGGACAGGCTGGAATGAAAAGACACAAAAGTGAACGAGTGCACTGGCGCTGTGGGACGGGCGGGGGGCCCGACACCTCAGCGTGGCCATATTCCAGGGCTTGGACCCCTCGCGTTCCTTAGCGATGTGGCTACTGAGTGCGGCATCTCGAATTGATCTCACCCCTCCCCCGCCTCCTTCTACGCACCCCCAGTGCATCTCAAATGGATCTTTCTGCCATGGGTCACAAAGACGGGCGGTGGACCTTATCAGAAATATTGTGGTGCTCGGGGATTCAGACAGGGAGACTTATCAAATGGGCAGGACAAAAATGGGCTGGGTGGGTCCCCACAAACACACCCTGAAACAAAGACACACACACACACGCAGCAATCTGCAGTCTCTTGGGAGCACACACCCCTGAGGCTCAGGGTGTGACAAGTCACCAAGAAAGAGAGAGCGAGAGAGAGAGAGAGATGTGTTTTGTCAGCCGCTTGGATATAATATTAGCAGACTGTACCTTCTGGGGCCATTTTAGATCAATCTGTCTGAAACATCTCGCTGGGAGAGCTTTGGAGAGACTGGTCAATACAGTTCTGTGTCCAGGCCGAGGATGAGAAAGCCGCAGGACGCCGGCTTGGGTTTTGTCTCCTCTTTAGATAGAAGAGAGGAACGACCATCTCAAAAGCTGTCTCAGTGCTGCTGCGGGCAACAAACAGGGGGACGAATACTCTGCAGACACAAATGGAGATTCGGCTAGATTCAGCTCCAAGTTCTTAGAAATTGTTTTCTGGCTGTAGTACAAATGGATGTTAGTTAATGTTTGTCTGAAGTGCTGCTTTGGCAGGGAACTTGACACTCACTTGTAGAAAACTCACTGTTGATGACTATGTCTATTTATTTGTTTGTAGTTTTATGAAACAGAGGCACTGGGATTGGGGCTCCTAACTTTCTGATGACTGCCGACTGGCATTACATCATTCGAAAAATTCACAGACTGGTAAAACTTGTCAGTATACTGGTGGATGATGGCGGGGAAAGGGGTGCCATTTAATCAGGACGTGCAAACGTCCAGGACCGTATAAATGGCATAGCTTGAAACTATATAGCTTATTTTTGTATTTTAACTTCCCCCAAACCCTAACTTTCTGATGACTGGTGGAATATTGGCACTGGTTTGTGGACCGGGGATTGGAATCCCCTAAATTACAGCACCGTATTTGGCTTAGGAATTAATTTGCATGTGTAATCCCTGTGCAAGATGCATAGGGATTGATTAACGTATACAGTAAGGTGTGTTCCTATTGGGTAAGGCCCAGCTATGGCTCCAGGCGGCCACGTGGCGAGGTCCGTCTCTGCCCTCTACAGCTTTACCAAAGTAATTACTTTGGCAGTTAATTCCCTCACCTGCCGTTCCAGGTGCCAGTCGGGCACCTGTGGAAACATTTTGGTACAATCCTCAGGGCTTCAGCGTTCGGGGGTTAGGCAACGTCGACGTGAGAGAAAATGGTGGTTTGTTAAGAAAGTGGCATGAGGGGGAGAAAGATCCAAGCGGTGGAGGTGCAGGTCCAAAAATGCAGGGAACCATCGGTCCCTTGGGCCTGAGACTGAGGTGGCATCAGATGTATACAAAAGGAGCCAGGAGTTCATTCTGTAACCACCCCCCCAGCCCCGATTAGGAAGTGTTTGCTTGCCTGAGCATGTAGTGCGTGACAGAAACACAGCCTGGGTCGTGCTGCTCAATCCCAAGCAAGGGAAGCTCTCCGGTCGGCTGGAGATGGATGTGGTGCAGTCAGCAGGCTATATACAGTATGAATGATGCACGGGCCATGTGCTAAACGTCGGCCATGCTCAGTGTGTGCCTCTGATTCTAGGTGGCTAATTTAACCGGGACACCGGGAACCAAAGTGTGTTCCGGCATGAATGTCCGAGGGAGCTGGGGGGGGCAGGTGGGGGCAGGTGGGGGCGTAATTCCAGGCTGATCCTAAGAGCGCTGCGGAGGTCTGGTGCTGCTGCTTGCTATGATGATTGTTTGGTTTAAGGATTTGAGTCGAGCCGGTTTATTCTGGATACGGTTCTTTTGTGACTTTGGATCCACGTGAGTTTGCGGTAGAGGTCAGAATCTGAGGGTGGGGGTGACCTTTTCTGCAGTAATTTGCACCCAGCTACATGTAGGGTGTTATTATATGGATGCTTAACTTGTCAATCCCCCCCCGCCCCCCGCCTCGTCTCGGCCCACAAAGCACTGTGGTGCTCTCCCCTTTCTCTGTGTCCGTCTCCCTTCATGAACCACTCTGCTCCTCCATGCCCCATTAAACACCATTTACTACCTTAAAGGCCCTTGAAGCGCACTCAGGACACACACACACATTGTCCTCAGGACACACACACACACTGTCCTCAGGACACACACACACATTGTCCTCAGGACACACACACACTCTTAAGATCCTTGGCAAATGCAACACGCTTCTCCTTAAGATGCACAGAAGCACTAACACACACTCTA